CAGTTATCTACCTTCTAGTGAGTCCAGGGTGTTTTCATTTGGGTTAAAACTTGTAGTAAGTGAGTCTATAGTCCATTTTCAGTCCTCAATTCCTATGCAGGCTTGGACGCGGTGATCTCGGCGTCTTTACTCTGCTGCCGTCTTCCAGAAGTCTGACCAAAAAGTTTATTTTTAAAAAATACCAATGTTCAGTTCCTACGTAAGGACTGAGAACCACCAGGGAAGAAGATTACAGCTAATAGCATCTGAAATCTCACTTCCCTCTCCTAAGACATTTCAGACATTGCAAAACTATCGCATAATCTTTACACTGTAGAACTTCAAGATTATTCCAACACAGCTCTACAAGCTGTTATTGCTATTCAACTAGGGTAAAAATGTAGATTATTTACTATTTTCCATGGGAGCAAATATGATAGAAGTTGTCACTTGTCCACTAAAATCCATTTCCTTTTTTTCTTTAATAAGAGAAGCCTTGATGGTTTTGCTGACCTGGAGACCAATGTGTATAAACACTATTATGCCCCAGTCTTTCTTATAACCAGTGTGGCTAAATTCTGTAACTCAACTCTGGCCAACAACATATAAACAGAAGTGGTACATGCAACTTCTGAGAGATTCCTTGACAGACAGGACATGACATTCTGGCCGTCCCTGTTGGTGCAATGGGTCAAAGCGACTGAGAAGCTATCAGCAGCTGCTTCGCAAGAGTTTGATCCCCAGTCAGAGAGGCGACCCACATAGTGTGTGTGATGCACCCTCTGCTCCCCTCAGCGGTGTGTTTTAGTCAATCTGCCTGTTCCATTCCCCTCTCTGTCTTCTGTGAATTCTTTTACTGTCCCCACAATCTGGCCTGTACCCCAGTTCGGTATGCCTAACTAATAAAATATTTTTAAAAACGAAGTCCTTCACCCTTCCTCCTCCTGAGGAATCCAACATGGACATGCAAGGTGGAACACAAGCAGCCCCTCTGTTCAAACACAACCTCCATACACAAGCCTGTCACACTAGCATAATCTCCACAGACACATTCTGCAGCATCTGATGAGATGCTATCAGCAAATCTGGTCATGTGTTCATCTCTAAAATCTCCTCCCAACCAGTGCGAATGGTCTCCAGCCACCTTGGGGCCAGGGGTAATAGTGCTATCTGCGTGGCCCTGTAGCTAGATGCACATCACTCCCATTATCCCCACAGAGATTCACCATGTGGTACTTGGGGGTGCTTGTCTGTAGGACCAGCTGCTGCAAGGCGTTGATCAACTTCTGATGCTGGCAACTTTCCTCCCACACGGCCTTCAGTTCATCAGTCTGGTGGCCCAGCTCCTTCTGGATATGCTCTTGTTCACACTGGCTAGCCTGTATCCATGCCTCCAGGTTGGTAATAGTGGCACTCAGGCAGTACAGCAGATACTCAATCATGAGCTGCACCAGATGTACCACCTTGAGTAGTGTTGGGTCCACAGGATGCCCACAACAGGTGCATTCCTTCCCATTGAAGTTGCAGATACCAGTGATGTTATCCTGAAAGGTGGCCACATCCAGATCTTGTATGATGTGGTCCACATTCACAGCACTAATGTGTTGCCAGTCTACACTTTGATTTCATGGCTGGAACTTGAAGGGAGGGAGTGGGTTGGCCCCACATTTGGGGAGGCTGAAGCCCTCAGAAGTAGCAGTAGCAGAAAACATGGGTGGGGCAGCCCTGGGTAACTACTAGGGAAGAGTGCCACGAAGTCCACGGCAGCAGGCAAAGGGACTGATAAAGAACCTGGAAAGTGAGAAAAGACTCCAAGTTAGGAAAGGTGCACGTAATTGCATACACTGCTCATCTAGCCCCCAGAGGCTAAGTGGGGTGAGGTGAGGGATCTGTGCAACAGCTCTAAAAAGGGTGCTACATACTGACATGACTAGACACTTATGTAATTATTCAGAGCCTCGTTCTTGGGCCAGTGTCTCCATATCTTTAAGCCGCACATATATATATATTGGGAATCGCAGGAACAGGCTCATGCTTAGGATGGAATCGGGTGAAGCACCCACCTTAGCACATTAACTCTCCCGTGATGCCCAAGTCCACTGCAAGACAGCCTGCCAGAGGTCTTTGCAAAGGAGGAGGTGTCACAGTTCCACATTGACCTCAGGTTAAAAGTGTGCCATGGGTGGCAGAAATATCTAAACTCTGCCACACCATATGCTCTGTAGTTACAAGACTCTAGTAGATTAGAGATGAGCTTAATTATTTCTCCAAGTTTCCCTCCTTTCAGATGTGATCATATGAATACTGATATCTCCAGTGAGGTATGAGTGCAATGATGTCCAGGTCTCTGCACTAATATGGAGCTCTATTCATGGTGCTCTGGTGTGGGCCAAACATCTCATACCGTCCGACAAAGTCCAGGTATGAGGGTGTGTCCCTGAAAAGTCAGGAACACCGAAGATGGCTCCTACTGGATCTCTTTGTTTTGGCCACTCCTGTATTTGTAACCATTTTTGCATTTGGAATCATTTGATGGAGTAAAAATTGATTTTACATTTGGCTTTTCTAATAAAAGCAATTAGTTATTACTGTAAAGTTAATACAGTTAAATTAGACAGTGCTAAAAACATATCGTGATAATATGTTCCTGTCCAAACCAATAATTTAAAATCACACATTCCACCACCGTCCAGGTGTACACATTAAATGAAGCTCCAGAGGAAATATTTTGGGAACCAAAAAGCTTAAGCCTTTGTTTTGGTCTTCAACTCTCCTATCTCTCTTAATAGAACTGAGTATAGTAAACTTTTTCATTCCTTACCCTGCCCTTGTTTTAATTTTTTTTTAGGATGCTTTAGTAAAAATGAGGATCCTTAGAAATTAGCAATAAAAGAAGCTTTCCTTTTGTTTGACTAACCTTTTATCATAATATAAATAAAAATGTTAGTTAAAACTATATGAATTAATCTGCCTGCATTATCATTAGCAAATTGTTTGCCCAGCTGCAAAAAATAATAATAGTGACAACATTTTTTTGTTAGCAGTGTTTTCCTTAAAAAATGATAAGTGTCATAGACTTGGCTAAGATCAAAATACTTCAAACTGTTCTTAGGAAAATGTGATAGTTTTTATTTATTTATTTATTTTTTTACTCAATGCATGTGCTGATATAATCCCACTGCTTGAAAACATAAAAATAAAAAAGAGCTGCTGAGACTAGCAGCAGACGACACTTGTACCTGAACGAGTGTTTATGTCCCTCATTCACCTTCACTGACACCGTCATTTCCTACAGGAACCTCTGTCACCCCAATTGTTGGAGTTGGTCTCTGGTAGCACTCTTATTCAAACCTAATGTTTAGTGAAAAGAGCTCTAGCTTGTGGTCCAAAGACACAGAATTTACTCCCTACTTTCTTGGTAGACATAGAAGTTATCTCTATTTGAAGATTAATTTGACAGTAGCATTAGGAATTTAAAAATGAACATGCTTTTACTAAGAATTACAATTTATCTACAGATAAATATATACAAGTGTGCAAAGGTGCTTGGAAAAACTTCCACTATGGTATTGTTTGTAATGGAAGAATACAAGAAAGCAAAGTACAAGGGAACGAATGGTATATCTATACAATAAAATACTATGTAGCTGTGGATAATAAAAATGTAGGTTCTCATGTAACAACATAGAATAATGATCTATGATCACATATACATATTGCATTTCTGTTTAAAGGGAATTTAATCACATTTTATAATAACCTATAAAAATAAATGCACATGGGACATATATACATGAATATACATATCTATGTATTTATATACTTCATATTACAATGGCTATGAGGGAGGAAGAAAATGACAATATTAAATGGAGATAAACAAACAAGTAGGTGTGCATGTTTATTAGAAGGATGGGTAGGCTGACAGACACACAGACTACCTTAAAACAGTGATGATAATGACACACACATACACACACACATAAATACATAGACATAGATGAATGATTTACTTTTTTCATATACAATCATAAATACAATTTACTAGTTTATTCTGCTTAAATATTATACATTATTTATGTTATTTCAAAAACATTGACTATTTCTAGAAACACAAGTAAGCTCTGAGTAATGGTTGCATTGTGAAATAGAAGTTATAAAACTTTATTTTCCACATTATGCTACCTCTGTGCTATTCAAACTCCTTTGCATTCATCTATTTCTTCCATCAAAATTTTAAAAACATACAATTTTTTTCCCCTTGGGAACTTTGATTCTGACAAGGGCAATAAGACATACATGTCACCTTATTTAATTACATTCCTTTATATATCATGTGATTCTGACATTTTAGCCCACTAGACTGTCAGAGAAGAGAATGGTTATTCACTTCTTGAAGGAGAAATACCTGGAGGAAACAAGAGCAAAAGAGCATTTTCAAAAGATGGAAAGGGCCCCCAGGAAATGCCCCTGACCTGGCTGAGCCTATCTCCATCTGAGAGACAGCCCTCCCTATCTACCCTCAGGGTGCAGTAAGACTCAGAGTTGTAGGGGAAGGAGAGTGATAACAATGGCTTCAGTGTAGTGAATGCCAGCCTCTGCCAGAAAAAAAAAATTCTACATACAAACCTACAAGCAACTATTACTAGTCTCATTTTACAAACAAGGAAATTCATTCCCTGGGGAAAGGAGGCCGAAGTGGAAATATAGTTGAAGGTGCATTTGGCTCTAAATCTTGTGAATGCTGCAACACTGACCCTTCAGGCCATTTGTCCTAAAATGCTACTATCTATGCTGCTATGATTTATCAGTTCATCTCCCCTTATCACTCTAACTCATTATCCACTCACTGCCCCAAGTCTCTGCTCCTTCTAGGCCATGCCTGGTAGCTCCAACTACCAGGAGGAACACATCCACCCCCAAAGGGGAGCTCAGCATGGCTCCTTGTCACAGTGCAAGTACAAGCCCCTTAGCCTGGGATACTACTGACTCACCTTCTCAGGCTCAGGTCCCATATTCTCTTCCTGAGTTTCCTTTCCCAAAACATTCTCCAAAAACAAAACCATCTAGCCACAAGCACTTCACTACGACCATGAGGAGAAGGCGAGCTGACTTCTACTAAAGGTGTTGAGTTTTTAAAAAATCAATAAATAGTTATTTAAAAATCAATAAATGAATGAGTCAGGAGACATCAAACTTACCATGCTGAGCTACAACTGCAACCATGTCACCAGAGCCTCAGAGACAACTGCCACACCAGTTGTGCCTTAGAGCAACAGCAGGTTCCCTAGGGTGCTAAATGCAACAGAATACCTGATCCCTGTCCTCCCACACACCAGGAGCTAACCTGAGAACTCACTGATTAACTTTTTAAGCTTTGCTGTCAGATGTTTGCCCACAGGCCTCCCTGATGGTAACACCAAGAACATTCCATCAGCAACTGTCTTGGTTCTCCCTCAGCCCCCCAACTCCATTTCTTTGACCCCCTTTCATCCTCTTCAGTTATTGCTATCCTTTCTCTCTGTAAGACTGGGTGCCAATGCTCTCTATATTCTGCTGTTTGCCCACATCTCTGTTCCCTGCACACAATCCCTAGGGGTGAGCTCTCATGCCCACAGCCTCAGTTAACACAAGCTTGCTGTCAGCCAAGCCTCAGCCATACCATATCTCCTTCTCTTAGCACATCTGTCTCTTGGGGCCTGTAGAATGAGCCTTTGTGATTGCACCATAAATTACAAATGTAAATTTCACCAAGGTCGGAAAGTGTTAAATACAGGAAGCATGCCACGGATAAGAGAAGCCACAGTATAAGCTCAGTGATAAGCAGCAACTGATTCCTCACCTTGAGGGCCTAACATACAATTAGGCAATGACTCTCAAAGTTGGGTCCCTGACCAAAAATATCACATTAGCTGGCAACTGGTCAGAAATGCCAATCTCCAGACTTAGTGATTCAGACGTACAGCAGTAAGGAGTGTTGGGGGTTGTGGCAAAATAGAGCACACATACCCTGGCTAAAAGGGGTAACACACTGAACTTTGGCTGTGTGACTGGATATGTGTTCCTCAGGGGCTTCTTCCAAATTAATTGAGAAGATATTCAAAGACCTCAGTGAACTGTTTCAAAACTACCTTTCTAGCTAAATACCCAGTTACCATGTTATTTGCTGTCCACACTTACATATCTCTGGACTGTTTTTCTTTCCAGACACTATAAATGATTTACAAAGAATAACTCATGTCATCTTTAAAACAACCCCTAGAATAGATACTATAATTATCTAAGGCACAAAGATGTGAAGAGACTTACCCAAAATGGGAATGAGAGGAGCCTGGCTAGAGAATCTAAGCTCTTAGCCACAAGGCTATGATCTTCCTTGGCTCCCTACCACTTCCTTCTGTTCCTCCTGGAGGTGAATACGTACTTTAAGATCCAGTTCAGACATGAGGGCCAAAATAAATCCCTCCTATGCCCACAATCAGGAGGCCCTTTCCATCCCCTGGACTCCCCAGAACACAGGGCACACCTTCCTCTGGTCACACTTACCAAACTATGGTTTGTGTTGTACAATCTTCATCCACCCACCAACAAATGACCACTTAACTCCTACAAGTGCCAGGCACTGACTGAGAGTGGCAGTCACAGTTGATGGTGACCTAGGCAACAGTCTTTCCTCATAATGAAGGGAGTTAAGAATTCTAGAATCCTATGATGCTGCAAATATGGCTGCCTGGTTTTACATATATTTTCCTATTAGTTCTAATAATGAAGTATATGGATAAATTGCTTCAAATTTCTTAGCCCAAATGCCCAAAAGTGGATGACTGGATTAAAAAAGATGTGGTACTTATACACAATGGAATATTGCTCAGCAACCAAAAAATAATAATAAACACATGTGTTTTGCAGCAAAATGGATGGAGCTGGAGAAGACCATGCTTATTGAATTCAGCCAGAAAGAAAAGGAAAAATACCGGATGGTTTCAGTCATAACAGGAGTATAACGGACCTGGCAAGAAAATAAGAATAATAATAATGAACAGCTATATACTAGAGACATTTTATGGCGATGAGTGGGGAATGGGATCAAAAACAGTGTGTGGGGGGAGGGAAATGCATTGGACTATGGTGATGGCACATGGGTGATGGGAACATGGGATATGATGATTGGAAGCCCACAGGGATTAAATTTGAGATGAAAAAAAAGTACAAAATGATGTAAAAATAAATTATTATATTATAAAAAAGAGCATAACAAATGAGGTAAAAAAACAAATGTTGAGTGAAAAATAATACAACCAAATAATAAGATAGTAGTGTCTTTAATATGTAAAAAGTGATTACAAATCAATTAGAAATAGAAAGCAGCTCAATAGAAAGCTAAACCAATATATTAGGAAATCTACAGAACAGCAACAAAAAAATATTTTACTGAATGAACATCTTTACATTCAACCTCACCAAAATGAACACAGCAGTATGCTTTAAATTATCCCACTGGCCAAAATTAAATCATTTTTTAGCATTGATGAAGAATAGATAAATAGGCAATTTCAAACAGCCATTTTTAAAACAATTTGACACCATATATCAAAATTTGATATCCTCTAAATGCTATAGTATTACCTTTACTATTAAGTATGAATCATTGTAAAGGTCCACCAATTAAATAGAGATTAAATAGACTACAATGTATTTACAGTGAAAATACTCTGTAGCTATTATGAAAAATAAAGCATGACCTGATCTGCTAATGAAAACTGGTATCCAAGACATAATATATTTTTGTAGTGAAAAACAAATGACAAGATAATATGCATCACTTGATTCCATTTATGATTTTTAAAACCATTCATATGATAAATTCAAGGTTGATATTCAAAATATTTAGGCAGTCATATCTTCATCGTCTCTATCAGAACTTGGAACATATAAGGGACTAAATACTTACCAACTGAAGGCATTAATGGATACCAAAATCAGCATTAGTAATTGAATACATTTCCTCACATCAATTATCTCACAGGTCCTGGAATTAATATTACAGACTTATATAGAACATGTTTCAAAACTATTAGCTATTAATCCCAAAACACATGTTATCTTCCTCAAATTTTCCAGCTTCTTTTGCAGCTGCATTCTGGCCTATACGATGTAAGGAGTATTACATGGTACTTGCAGGAAGCTTTCATAAAATGAAAGAGGTACACCTTTTTTTCTCTTTCCTCAGCCTGTTGCCTTGGATGCAGACATGATGGACTGGAGATCAAACAGCCAAAGATAAAGGGGCTGTGGATACTAAGGATGACAAGAGAAAAATGCAAGGGCCTTGATGACTGCAGCAACCATTTCCACTCTGAACTGTCTGCCTTCAAATGCCTTTTATATGAGAAAGAAATAAACCTCTGTACTTTATACTTCACTCTTCTTTCAGATTTCCCTCTTATAGAGAAAGTTGATCCTGATATGTGACTAAGCCCCCACACCTCTGGGGAAAGTGGAGATCAAAGGAAAGTATGGCATCTTAGGAAGTATCCAGTTCCATAATGCAAGTCAACATTGGTTCTATTTTTTATCTGTACCCACTTTTCCAGCCACCGACACCTCTGGGCCTTTAATCAGGTCCCTGTAAGTCCTGGGACAATACTTACGGTAGAGGTTTTCCACGAATGTGTTACTTTCTCTTACAACAGTCTTCTGCTTCTGGTTCATGTAGTTCCACAGATGCAAGGCTTAAGAGTTGTTGAAGTTTGGGTCTGTATCCCAGACTTCATAGTAGCACTTCCACTCCCTATAGGAGATGGGGTAAAATCTCTGAGGGTGTAGAAATGACAGATTAGAGCACCGCAGATCACTCACCTCCTAGAAGTCTGTACGTGTGCACCATATTTTCAACATCCTCGTGATCAAATCAGGGTTGCCCCAGATGTGTGAATTATAGTGTTCAACAAAGTTTTCCATGTACTCCCAGAAGAAGGAATTCCTGGGGGAGGAACACAAATACTCCATTACTAGAGCACCGAGAAGACTTTGAAGCCAACAAGTTTTTCTCAGGAATGGGCCTGATAGATATGAGATCAGTGTCCATGTAGATGCCACCGTACTTCCAGATAATGGCCAGAGGATGTGCATCCGAGCTGACATGAATCCAGTTCCTCTGTGCGCTGACATTGACCTGCAGAAACAGATGAAATCAGTCAGAGCAGCTATGGGCAACAAGCAAGTGGGAAATCAGTGATCACAAGGGGCCAGGCCCAAAAAAGTAAACCAGCTCCCCCCAAATCTATTTGCTAAATACCCTATTGTACAAGTTCACCAAACTTACCTCAAAATCAAAAAGTGGCCTTTAAAAAAAAAGATTTATATGTGTATGTATACAGAACTGGGATATAAGCCAGAGGTGCAGGGGTGGTACTTATGAAACCTTCTCTAGAAATGAAACATACTTAGGGACCAAATGCTGTACAAAGTATCAGAACACAATAGAAAGTATCTCAAAACTCAGACCGGTGAGACAGGGAGATGGAGGGCCAGTCCTTCTAAATCTATCTAGTCACACCCCAAAAGTGACTAATTGAATAATAGATAACACTCCCACAAAGCAATGTACCCTTCCCATAAATGGAAAACACTGTATTAGTACAATTTCTACATTGGAAAATGAAGCTTTTCTGCCCATCTGTTTTCTATAGAAGTGCCTCTTTCTCTTTCTCTTTCTCCTTTTCCTAATCTACCTGTCATTTTAAAGTATAACTTCGGCCTGTGTCTACACAAACATCTTCCTCCCCTGGGTAAACTTGCCATGTGCCTCTGAAAGGGGAATTCTGCTGAAACTTTTCTTCGAGAAAACCCAAACTCCCCATTCACCCAACCTAAAACCTCAACAAATTGACATCAAAATACCCTGAACAGAATGCCTCTGATTTATAGTTGCCTGCTAATTTTTGTTTATTTATTTATTACTGCCATTTTTTCCCTGATCCCTTATTTAGTCCCCCTACCATCAGTAAAACCATCTGATATTTTTCTTTTTCCTCTGGCTTCATTCGCTGAGCATAATCCCTTCCAGCTCCATCCATATTACTGCAAATGGCGTGAGTTTATCACTTTTGACTACTGAATAGTATTCCAGTAGTATTCCATCTTTTGATCCAATCACCTATGTTTGGGCATTTGGGTTTCTTCCATATCTTACCTATTGTAAACAGTGCTGCAATAAGCATAGTTTGTTCACAGGTAAATAGGTGGTGGGAATTTTATAAGAAATGCATCTTCAAGGAAAAAGCAAGCATTTTACAATACAAATGAATGAACAACACCTGAACAAAAAAGTGTGCATTATGTCACAGAAGCAATTGTCAAAATAATAATAATAAAATAATAATAATAATTAATAATAATAATAATAATAGCCACAATAATCCCTAAAATACCAATTATAATTTCATGATCCTTAGAGGGTATCTCCATCATTGACAGGACTTATCCAAGAGGGAGATAGGTAAGCTAAGAGCAAGAATTTAATGGAATGCTTCTAGATAGTGTAAGAAAGAAACCAGAAGCTCCTCCACCTATTGAAGCCAACATTAGGAGAAACTCCTGTGGATGAAAGGAATGTCCTTTCCCCATTATGGGTTCAAATTATAGGGTAAAAAACAGAACAAATGTCTGTGTTCCAACAGTACTCACTTAAGTAGATACTGGTGAAAGAAGCATCACACCCACTAGGATAATTAACCTGGGAAATGTGGTTCCTCCTTACCCAGCAAACTAAAACTCACTCTTCTCATTGCTTTCCCTGTACCTCCTGTGCTGAGGCCTATTATTAGCCTCTAAAGCTGTTACATAGATGAAGTTATAGTAGAACCATTCAGGCAAGGCATTCCGAGGCCCTGTTTTTCAACATGCCTTCCTTGAGATTTTCTAAATTAGACACCAGGCCTGGAACTGGTTGGGTCAATCAAGCATCTGAGATGATACCCTAAAGCCAGAGTGCAACAATGTTAGATACCTAGAAAGGGTAAGTTCCAGGATCTCTGCACCACCCATTGAAAGTGGAGCTGAGCAGCAAGGAGTGGAAAAGATTGGGAAAAGGACCTGGAAAGAAAGGATGGAAAGAAAAGGACTACAGGGAGAATTAAGGAGGCCCATGGAGAAAAGAAACATGTAAAGCAGAAATTGTGTTAGTTCTTGGCCTTGGACTTGCATGAGCAATTTGGGAGACAAGGAAAGAGGCACTTGAAAAAGACATGGATGACCCATGGCTGGCAATAGAACAATAGATACCTATGTCTTGATTTGTACTTTGACTTTTCTCTATCCCTTCCAGACTTGTTTGGCCCCTTCTTACCCTTTATGTGGATCCCCACCAGAAGATGCCTTATGCTTGTGACAAGCTTTCAGGCCTCGGGGGCCCAGCTTGGGACAAACTCTCTTTAGCTGGGCATTTACCCACGATGTAATGGGTAACTTTGGGTGTTTCACTAGGAAACTATATAAACTATATACTTTCTCTTTGGTCTATTAGTTGTGCTTAAGTTCTATTCTACTCAACATCTTATGCACTAAGAGTAGGTTTGTCTGTAGTGAAAATGATGGGGGCCCATCATTTCTTCCTACTATCAAAAGCAGATCAAGGAGAACTCAGTCTATGTTTTTTTTTTCCCTGTCAGGGAGCTCTCACTATCTACCCTAAATGTGGTAGTTTTCAAATGCCCAGAGATCTCTGGCTCTCATGCCAGTATGTGCCCAGTTCCAGGAGAAAAGCCTGGCAGGAAGACCAACCTTCCTACTCAGTGTTGTATTTCTCTATGGGATTGTGCAAGATTGGACCCCTAATGGTGCTTTGGGTGACACTCACTCTACTTTTTCACAGGATAAGTCTTAGGACTCTGTTATCAAAGTTCATTTTCACGTACAGGTCCATGTTGCAGTTTTCACCTTCACATCGTATCCTCACTGCCGCATCAGGTCTATATAACATCAGAGAGCAGAAGGTATCATTTATCTGGGGCTCCCCCAATGTCAGCACCAATGACAGTGCCTAAAAACCTAACAGACCCCAGGTACTGGGCCTAGCAGTGGTTCTCCACTGGCCTCAGCGGACTTTCAAGGCTGTAGCTCTACAACACAAGTTGGTCCGCCCAATCACTGTCTTTTCTTGCTTCCAGTCGATATTATGGTGCCTGTGTCAATGGTGGCATGCCTATGGGCATGCCCTGCCCTTCTCAGCCTCCCCACAGACCTCTGGCTTAGATTCCCTATAAGCAAAGTTGTTCCAGCATTTAAGAAGGCCATGTGCTAATTCAGTGATTAAAGCTTAAAACATTCAAAAGAAGATATGCTCAGAAGATGTGTCATTCATGCTTATATTATAAAATTCCAAGTGATAAATTTAACAAGACCATGAAGTTACCCACTTCATTTTCCTTTATAATCAAGGTAATATTTGTGTTTGTACTCATCCACAGGAAGCACTCCACAATATTTGATAAAGTCATTGGATCCAGTATTCTTAGGTGACATGATACAGATAATAGTACCTTCAGTAACGATGCAAACAGCATTAAATAATGAGTATCAGGATATATCAGAGATGAGCATATCTATATTGTTTCAACACTAATAGACACAACATTGGGAGTACTAAAAGCATTGTTCTGTTCATCTCAAATGAAGGATATGAATTGTGGTCAGAATAGTGCATATAATAATAAAGAACACAGAGGTAGTGTTCCTGGGTCTGAATAGAATGAGAGAGTGTGGTACTACGAGTCTTCACACTCACTGACTGTCCAGCAAATCCTATGTGCCTCCTTGCTCACATTTATCTACATTGCCTTTGATAAATGATTATATCACACATGAGCCCATGAATTTTATATGCATTTGAAACAAGTTGTTTACATAGACAACCCCATGAAAAATACTCACTTGGGATCCTGCATTCCCTCAAGTTACCCTGGGCAGGATGCATGTTTCTGAGGAAGAGAAGTGGGCTGGGTAGGGTGCAGCTGGTAGAAGCAAGCAGAGGTAAGTATGTGAAAACCTGTGGGCAGAATGGACTGGTTATGAGTGGAGGCTCTTGTTAAATAATCTTCATTTAAAATAATCCTCATTAGATCTTCTAAAAGCTTCACTACCCCTCCATGGTATCTCAAATATGAATTTTAAAACAAACAAAAAAGAGCAGACTAATGTTTTGTCCTGATTTCTGTGACAGGCCAAAAGGAAGACGGGAGGCAGAAAGGCTGAACAAGTAGAGTTTATTGCACCTGGGCAGCAGCTGAGACGGAGCTCTCAAGGGTGGGGTCCACAGCTATTGCCAATGCTATAGGCGAAAAGGGTTTCTTATATAGATTCTAGGTTTATATTCTAAAGGGATGACTCATCGCTGTGCCCCCTGATGCGAGGCCCAGTTTGTTATCACCCTTATCTAGTCCCACTGGTATCTCCTGGCTGCAAGGCCAAGTCAATTATCACCAGTTTATTATCGCCCTTATCTAGCCCTACCTGTAGTTGTTTTATCACTGTACCTGGTCACCCCCAACAACTAAAAGCTTAAGAATGCCAAAATTGGGCCCTGCCTGGTGGTGCAGCGGGTTAAAGCACAGCACTAAGAAGCTAAAGCCACTTCCACATGAGTTCGATTCCCGCCTGCCCTGGAGGAGATCCACATGGCGAGGCAGACCTCTCCTGACCCGCCCGCTGCTCCCCTCAGCAGTGTACTTCGTCTATCTGTCTGTTCTTCTCCCCTCTCTGTCTTTGGTGAATCCTCTCACCCTCCACATCTCTGGCCTGTACCCCGGTTCCATATGAATAAATAAATCTTTTTTTTTTAAAAAAAGAATGCCAATATCAAGATGTACAGCAAGGTAATGAAGAACAATAGCAGTTAAAGTCACTTTCCTGGGCCCCAACTCTGCCACTGTATCTATAGCCATGTGACCTGGAGTCTCAGCATTCCTCTCTGTAAAATAGGAGATTGGTTGTGCCTTTCATCAAGGTGTTTATTGTAAAATAAGTGCTTGATCAGTATAAGTGGTTACTAGGTGCTTGTAGCATGAACTGGCCAAACAAGTGGAGAAAAAATCCTAGATATACTTCTATAAGATCCAGTTAATTATCCCAATTATTTTTGCATTTAGGATACTAAACATATTTTCAAAGCTATGAATCTTCCTATTGAAAATAACAGTGTTCCCAACAACATTGATTCAAAAGAACACCTGCATCTCCATGTTTATTGTTGCACTATTTACAACAGGGAAAATGTGGAATCAACCCAAATGCCACAAAATAGGTGACTGGATTGAAAGGATGTAGTACATATAAACAATGGACTATTACTCAGCTATCAAAAACGATAAACCCATGGTTTTTGCAGCAACATAGATGGAGCTGAAAGGGATCATTTTTAGTGAAATAAGCCAGAAATAAAAAGAACAGTACTGGATGGTGTTACTCATAACAGGAGTGTAAGGTCTCAGTGGGAGAAGAGGAAAAAGAGAGAGAGAGAGAAGCAAATATAATAAAGTAAAAATGAGAACAAATATAAAGCAGAGACATTGTATGCGGTGAAAAGGGAATGGGATAAAAACTGGGGTGTGAAGAGGGCACGGGAATGTGGTGATGGCACACAGGTGAACTGCTGGTGGGGAGCCCACAACTGGGATGGAAAAATGTACAAAATGATGTAGAATTAATTAATTAATTAATTTTTTGAGAAACAAAATATCCCAATAAGTTTAAACAAAAATAAACCAATCCATTTGTAATATGGAGCAGATAAACAGAACATCTCAAACTTAAATCAAGAAAAAAGATTGACCACAAAACAACAGCATTTGAAGTACTAAGTCTAGTTCAGGACAGAGAGAAATCATATCTTTAAAGTAATAATATAAAATACCAGCGTTGTATTTCTAAATATTGTATATTTTAAGAATGAAAGTGGCATTTCTATTTTCACCTATTCTGATGTCCCTACAATACAAGCAAAAACAGAGTGCTCCAAAGTTTATGAAACTTCAAGTGGTCCTGTAACCCTCACTTCCTAGACTGTCATAAACCTGTAATACATAGAAATCACTACCAGCAATGTGATTGCAAATGTTTGTTGAGAATGTATTGAGAATGACTGATTCTATACACATTTACGGGTTATTGAATGCAGTTATATTCATTACCCAGACTTCAGCAGTCAATGAGTAGAAATTACATGATAAGTTATATAGAGCCATATTAATGGCCCAACTTTCACCAACAGGAAGTCCCACCCTTTGATGGGGTGTCCTCACAAAATTTTCAGGCCTCTCAGTTTTCATTTGTGATACCCAAATTTACCTAGATCTACCTATCTCTGTGGGTCCTTGGTAAAGTCATGTCCCTCCCCAGAGTGTCCAGAACACTCACCATGTACACAAGCACCTGCATGCACCGGGCCTCAGCTCCGGACGTCAGTTCCATGACGTCCTTCCCCTGCTGGTTCACTAGAGGCAGCTTATCCCCTCCTCTGTGGAGCCCACAATGCTGTTTTTTTGTTGTTGTTGTTGTTGTTTCTCCCAAGACACTCTCTATAGCACTGCAGATGCATGCCAGCTGCCTCAAACTTTAATTGATCTTTCTCACTTTCCAGAATTGAGCACAAACAGGTTTGCACTTGTCCAAAGTAAATTGAGAGAGGTCGATTATTATTGTGAGGTGCCAGGCTCTTAGAAAATTCTCTTTCATGGTAAATTAACTCAAATCTTACCCATTTTACTATCTTCTGATGTCAAATGTCTTTTATAAAAATGCGAAGTGACTGCTGCATACTTTCTTTTAGGTTCTTTTTTGGCAAAGTAAAAGTTGGCAACCTCAGATCACCCACAAACTTTTTTTTAAATATTTTACAAAAGTTTATTTTTACATCATTTTGTACATTTTTTTTCCATCTCAATTGTAATCCCCGTGGGTTTCCCATCACCAAGTCACTAGTGTGCCATCACCATAATCCCGTGCATTTCCTTCCCTACCCCCCA